ATTTTTCCCATTTTGAGAAGTAGATTAAAAAATTTTTTTGCTCCAAGAGGTTTGGATGGTTTTTTTTTTTTTTTTTTTTGCTAATTTTAGTTATAAAAATACGACACAAACAGTCTGGCCCTGGTTACTGTTACCCATTTCCTATCCGTCCAAAAGCATGACTCATCTTTCAGAAAAAGACGTAATCTGATGACAACGTGAACAGTACAACTCCAGTGTCCACACAAACAACATGGGTGCCGACAGTTTGCCCGGAGCTCTTTTCAAACAACCGGCAGATGATTAATTGGCCAGCAACCCCCCAAACAGAGACGGAGACGGCCCCGCCTCAAACCCGCTCCTCCACAAGCCGCTTCACACCGTAATGGTGGAACGTAAGCTGGGGTGGCTGAGGGAAGATGTCGGCTCGGCTGTGTACGGGCTATCAGCACGCTACCATTACAGACTGCCATCTGTACATTTTCCAGCCTGCGACTCAACAAAGTGCCGTTCCTCCATCACCCCCCAACCACAATGTCATGGCTCATGATATCATTTCCTTTGGGATGGCAAATTTACCCTTTGCATATATATATATATTTTTTTTTTCTTCTTTTTTTTGCTGAACTGTGGACATTCATCAAATCGGACAGGATTACCTCTGGGAAGGGGCGCACGGGGACAGGATTGGGTCACACGCAGTGGGTCGGTCCAAGCGGGTCGAGAGGCTTTAGGGGGAGAAAAGTTCTTCTCTTTCAATCTAGATTAAATATCGCCATAATCAAATTGCAGAGCTACTCGGTGGCGCTTGTGAATGGGGAAAGAAGCGTAGCTCGAACACAGGGTGGGGGGGGGGCCTGGGTTTTGTCATTTAGTCTAAACACGTCAGTTGGGTGTTTGTGTTAGTGGGCTGGGGGTATGGGTACCGCAGGCAGATTGGGGGAAGAGCTCAATCATCGGTGGATCTCCCAGATAAATGCCTAAACCAAATTCCCCCTCAGGCTCCTCCCTGTCGTAGACAAGAAACCAGACCCGATTGGGGTTTTATCCAACTCTAAAGCCAAAGCCGTGACCTGAGGATTAAGGTATGGAGGTAACTTCCTTCCCCCTAAAAGATGCCTTGCTAGACATATATCCATGAAGATCCATACTCTGTTATTGTTGTTTCAAACTTTTGCCTCGGAATGAGCAGCATCTCCAACATGGAAACACTTCAAAAGTTTTCATGAGCTTCCAGGAATTCTTATTTTGACTGGCTGGAGTTTTGAAGGAAGGGGAACTATGGTTGCGGGGGCGGTTAAAAATGATTACAAATAGCCATCCATAAATGTGTGTTTGTGTTCCCAGTTTTGCTTCAGTCACTCAGAGAGAGAATAAACAGCAGGCTGTCTGGTAGGAGGACAGAAAGCATAACACATAGTCTGAATTACAGATATTAAAATGTCAGGCTATGGCTGTTGTAGATGAGACTCTGTATTGATCCCAGATGGCAGAGGGGGCTAATTTGCCACTGGGCCTGCTGGACGTAATGTGTGTTGACAAGAAGAAAATGGAGAGATGGGGGTGGGGGGATATGATGGAAGAATGGAAAGACAAAATGTGAGACTACCAGAAGGGAATTCACAGCAAGAACGAAAGTGAGAGAGTCAATAAAAGAAGGCAAACCACTGATTAAGAGAAAACATTTCATCCCTTCTATTTTTTCTGTTAGTCAGTCTTTGGAAGAGTCCCACAAACTGAGCATTTGTAATCTAGAAGCATGGAAGTCGATCCAACGTGACATTTGTGGGTGGAGATAGGCGGACGGGCCTTAAAAAAAAACTGTGATGGAGCTAAAGCAACAGATCTGCAAAAGATCTTAACAATATGGGGACAAATTTGAAGAACATATGGCAGATACAGCTTTGAAGGTGATGGAGACTAATGGCAGGCATGTTTAAACCACTAGGGAGCACTGTGTACCCAATGCTAACACTGACAGCGCCTTCCAAAAGTATGTACACCCCCTGAACCTGTTCACAGTTTATAATGTTACAATTGCAGAATTCATTGAATTATATTAAGGTATAATGTGACAGATTGACACAAATAGCATGATCATAAAGACGAAAAGGGACACATGACTTCAGTGTTTCCTTTTACATGTAAAAAATCAACTGAAAGTGTGACATGATTGTATCTATTGTACTTTATTTTGTTGCCCCCCCAAAAAAGTCATTCAAACAAACTACTTGAGATGTTTATGGGTGATTTCATTTTCAAATGAACATAGTTGCTCTGTAAAGGCCTCAGAGAATGAATAGAAAACATTTGTGAAGAAGCAGCATCACAAAGACTAAGGGACACATCAGAAATGTCAGAGAATAAAAGTTATGAAGCAGTTTAAAGCAGAGTTATGTTGGAAAAACAATGTTTCACATTTTAAACATATCACAGAGGAACATTTAATCATCATAAACATAGATGATTAATTGATCATACATGCCCATGAACTGAACCTGTCTGGATAAGCAATTTATTTATTATAAATTTTATTAGAACATGCACAATAAAGGCGTGTAATTCTGCAAGGCGCACTACCGTAAGGCAGAACGCCTAAAACGGCTCCGTCACTCTGTTTAAATTATTACTTCTCTTTTTCTTTCTTCAAATTTAAATCCACAGCTATCCGTACATGTAAATAAATTAAGAGCGATCACAGCATGTAAAAACACGGTGTAAATGAAATAAGTGTGCTTTTGTCTAACCTTTTATCCGTGGAGCTGGAGGCCTGGTTCATCTCACTGTTGGAAATAAAATTGCGAATTTCAGAGAAGTACGAGTCCTCCTTCTCGTCTAAAAGTGCGTGATTGTCTGGCTCGGAGTTTGGAGAGGAGATGGTGGTTCCTAGGTTGGAAAGCATCCCGGACTGCTGGCGTACTGTGAAGGGAAAAAAAAAAAAAAAAAAAAAAAATCATGTTCAAAGGTAAAACTAAGAAGTTTGACAAAGAAAATAAACAGCTGCTGAAGAAATGTGTAATTCATTTAAAAAAATGTCAGTGTGAAAGCCTTAGTATATTTTGCCAGAATGAAATACGGTGTTTATAAAGCCATTTTCGATCTGAAAAAAAAAAAAACAAAACAAAACAAAACAACTATTTCAAAAGGCTTAGAAAATACTATAACATTGTTCTATTCCAGTTTTACACTCTTATTGGGCAACAATGGTTGAGATACAGCAAATAGAAGTATGAGTTATTATTAAGATTATTATGGCACAAGAGTGATTATCCTTAAAAACTGATCAATGCTTACTAGCTTCATGTAAACTTGGTCAAAGTGGTAAAACCCCGTTGCACTGTCTCCTTTCAGGTTGTCATATTAGCCACATATTAAATCATGTGTAATTTAGATGTCAACGCAAACAGGCATTTGCTCCTTTCATAATGTTTGTATTCCTTCTATAATCAGTGGCATACCACCACACTACACAGCAAGTCCCTCTTTCAATAGATTTTACCCATTTCAAATCATTCAAACATTTATCTGGGTGATGATTTTAAATTTCTGCACATGTTATGGTGAGCCATTTATCATTCGAAACCTTTAGCCAGGCGGTCCCTGTTTACTAACTACTTTCAACGTGCTTCGCCTCGGTTTCGTCAGAGAAGCAGCCGCAGATGTGGCAGCCTCACCAGGAATGTTCTCGTGCTCGTGCTTCTTGAGATGGCGGTCGAGGTTGGTTTGCTGACCGAAGCAGCGGTTGCACAGGTGACACTTGAAGGGTTTTTCCTTGTTGTGGATATTGCGGACGTGACGCTGAAGGTTGGAGGAGATGCTGAATGAGCGGTCACAGTATTTACACCTGCCAAAGACCAACAGAGTCATTGAAATACAGGTTAGAGGTGCAGCAGCACGATCAGGGCGTTTCATTCAAATGATGCAGTCAGGATTATTACTGTCATTTTTATAAATGTATCTGCTTAGGTGGGAAGGAAATAAAACAAACAGTAAATTGTGCTAGTTTCAGACATAAGATTTACAGTTTTAGATAAATAATGTGCATCATGGTTAAAGTTTAAAAAATGATAATTTCTAAAAGAAGGGTAGTTGAAGAATAAGAACACTCTAAACCATTAGCTAAAACTATATGAAAAATAAGAAGACAGAAACAAACAAACAAAAGGAAAAGTAGAAACCTGTAGGGCTGCTCCCCTGTGTGTGTCCGCAAGTGCCTGGTGAGGTTTGCTGAGCGGGGGAAAATCTTCCCACAGTACCTGGAGGGAAGGATGGATATTGAAGGCACATTATCATTATAAAAGAGTTTAGCTTTACCTGCATAACCAGCGCAACATCCACAGCGTACTAACCTGCAAGCATAACGTTCCTTGCCCTTTCGAAGGATTGCTTCTGAGAGGGAAGGTGGTGGTGAGCGGAAATTGAACAGTGGATGGGTCGGGTGTTGCAGCGTATTGGGCGGCATGTCCAGTTTTAGGGCACCAAAGCTCTCCAGCTTCTCTGTCATATTTTCCATGGCTGACATCTGAAATATGTCAAAAGAATGTCATATACTTTTGAAATACATTCAGTTGGATGCTATTTTGCGTTTGGCTCAGCTCTCATGAATAATGTTTAGCAGATCATTACATGCATATTTGTGATAAATTTTACACCAGGATTTTTTGTTGTGAGATTCCATGTTCAGTTAATGTCTTTCCTGTATGGTAGTAACTTTTTTGGTATCTTAATTTAGCATAAATAAAGATGAGCTGGTTCTTGAGGCAGAAGTTAGGAGGGGCCCAGAGGAAAGCAGATTTTTACTGTTTTAAAACTTTTTTTCTTTTTTTTTTGCAAAGTCTAAGTTTATAAACCTTTAAGCAGTTATCACATTTTCATGGGAAAGCTAATTAGATAGAAGACACAAAATGGAGGCGATGATCCTTCTGTATGGAAGATGAACTGAGAACAGAACTGAGAATGTGAGGCTTCAAAGCCAAAAGCAGTCCAGACTGAAATTACAAATCATCTGATTTACTTTATTCAAGGACACTTTTGTTGCTCATAGCAGTCTTTTTGTTCCTTTTAAGCCATTCTCAACTCCATGACCAATTAAAAATCTAAACTGACAAATTAACCATGTACCTTTTGCCATCCCTTGTTTGTATTTGTTAAAGTTGCAGAGCAAGTTTCTGGCATCAACTGTGTGTCACCTAGCAACTAACTCACAAAACAGGTTAAGTGTACTTTAGGCTATGTCTGTTTAAAAATGTGGTCAATGTGGTCATATGCCTAATTTGTAAAATTGCCTTCTTGTGGTCGAACAATAATACTGATGGTAGCAGTCAATAATACAGGAGATGCAGGGTAACATATGGGTAGAACCAATTGTTCCCTTCATACAGGAGACTGATGTCCTGGTTAAAACTAGGCAGTTAGCAACCAAGTTATAATTACTAAAAGAAAATGAAAGAGTTATGTACCAGAAGCATTGCCAAATCAGTTTATATTAGGGTATAATCTTGTTGTTTCTAAAGACCACTAACCCAACTGACTTAAGTTCCCCTTCTCCTGTTAATCAATTTGAGCCAGTGTTTTGTTCTGTACCTCTTACGTTTTTGTGACAAAGCTGCTGTTTTAGACTAGCAAACTTGCAAAGTACAATATAGTTTGTGATACTCCCTACTGATAGCTGCTTTCCTTCTCCCTAGGAGCCTGCGAACAAAAGAGGCCAGCCACGTAGAAGTTTATTTGCCAAAACAGGCTTACATCCTTCCTTTTATTAGTGAATATGGGATGGGAGAGACACGGGGACAGACACTCCGTCGCTATGTGTTTATTCGTAGTCTGAGAAACGGGTATAGGGGGTGTGGGGAGATTCCGTCATGCGACTGAATTAGAGGTGGCATTGTGTTTGAATCGCTGGGAGGATCACAGCTGGGACACTCCCATATGAGAAGTTTTTACATGGAGGCCTGTGAAAACATTTTATCAGGGGTATAGCAATAAATTACAAGGCAATGTATTCAAATGGGAGCCAGGGAAATCCCTGTTGTAGACTTAAATCGTAATCCCACAGGAATAGCAATTTGCTCGCAAATTTAATCAAGAACACTACATTTATTGTACGTGTAAATATATATGGATCTATCTGAATATTTACGAGATGAGAGTATTGCAAAGTCATGCTTAATAGAGGACACAGATTTCCAGGTCAGATTAAACTGCTTCCCCAATGAGAGGCCCCTATTCTCCTGGACACAAACACAGGATGTCCTTGATGGACACAGTGCTATTATCTAGCCAGCCAGCCAGTCACTGAGAAAAACTCCTGAAGGGTATTGACTTATTGGCTGGCCTTTGGACTCTCAGTACATAAAACAATGCCATGAATAACAGTGGCATGGCCAACTGAGGCAATCTGTTCAATTCAAGCGGGTATTTTACTTTATTAATAATATTATCATTCTTTGTAATCAAGATTTGTAGAGGTGGGGAAGGTCTGGAGACAGTCAAACAATGTTGCTGATTATCAAAGGACATGCTATAACACACCGTGTCTTCTGGGAAAAAAAACAACAAAAAAATCCGTGGAGTTGACAAAGTACACAGGCGCCATTTGGTAAACAAAGGAAGAAATCACAGAACCCTTGAGAAAATACATGAGCACAGAGGAGTGACGGAGCAAAGGGGCTTATTAATTCAGGTTGCGTTGTTGTGGGAGGCAGAAGCTCAGTATTTCAATGTAATTCAAGTTAAACACCTTTTTATTTAAGACGCAATATAAAATAAATAAAAGTTAATCCCTTTCAGGAACAATATGTTCATTTGTAACATGTTTAGGCCATTTGCTTGCTTTGATGTCAGCGTGTTGAAATCTCTCTCTCCAATAAGGTACGTACAACATATTGAGTCTAGTTTACCTGTGGATGGAAGAGTGGTGGGGAGGGCCTCAGGATCTTCTCCTTCAGAGCTCCAACCGGATCAAGTAGCTTCCTCTTCTCCACCCTGCTGGACCAACGACAAGGCAGAGGGTTACGTACCAAGGTTAGAGTTTCCCTAATGACTTTAAACCTGACATCAAGTTCTACCTTGTTGATTATGTGAAAATGTTAGGTCCTGGTCTAATTGGGGCTGAAATACCTGTAGATGGGATCCATGAAGAATGCGGAGGGCTTGGCATAGTGCAGTGGTGGAGGCTGATGCGGCTGTGCCTGCGGCTGCTGGTGCTGGGTTATGGAGGGTTGGTGCAATGACTGCGAGTGAGGATGAAGGAATCCCACTGAGGTTTCGTCTTTATGGGAGACCACCTTGCCGGCGCCAAAGATATGATTCTTTCGATTTTGGGGCTCAACTGGCAGGCCGTTGTGACCACTTCGATTTCTGCTGCCAATGCTGAGGTCCAGTGGCTGCTCTTCATTGTTAGATATCACTACAGGACCACTGCTGTTCCCAGTGCTGCTTGGGTTGGATGGGTTTGTTGGAGCGGGAGGAGTTAACTTGGCCTCCTTGGGTTTCGTTGTGAGATCAAAAGGTGACTCTGTGGTGGGAGCAGGAGCTGTGGGGGAACTTGAAACCATCTTGTGCAGCTGTTCACGAGGGGATTTGGGCTCCGCCTTCAGGAATATGCTAGGATTGAGGGTGCCTCGATCAGTGGCGAAAGGGTATAGGGAGTTGTGGAAGTTGGGTAGAAACTGAAAGGGAAACATGGAATGGTAGGGCAGTGGACCCATCTTTTTCTCCTGATGAAGTCCCATCAAAGCAGGACCGAAATATTTCTCAGCAATGTTAGCAATTGCTTTAATGGAATCGGTGGTGGCTGCATTGGCATTTGTGGTGGTAGGAGGCAGGGCTTGCTCATCGGGTGGAGGAAAGAAGGAGTGCTGGGATGAAGCAGAATGAAAAGGGCGATCTATAGAAAGTGTTCCTGAACTAGACACAGCTGATATCAACGCGCTACTTGAGTCCTCTAACTGGTTTCCATCTTGACTCGACACAGTGCCAGACGGCTTCCTCCTTTTACCACTCCTTTCACGTTCACTATCACCTTCACTCTCCAGGTCGGAACCGTCACCTGAAACAGTACCAGTGGTGGTGTCCAAATCTGTTCCACTTGTGGTATTAACATCTTCAAGGTCACTTCCATCCGACATGTCTGCTAGTTTAGATTTAGGTTTAGTTTCTCCACTAGAAGACAAATCAAGCTTACTGTCCTTTTCCTTGTCTTCCAGTGGACTCAAACCACTAATGCCGTTGCTGTTTGTGGAGTTGACAAGTGACAATGGTGGGGCATCTAAGGGGCTCCGAGGGAGCTTAACCTCCTGACTGCTGCCTGCCAGTGGGCTCTTTAATAAAGGACTGGGAGGTAATAAAGGTGGCCGTGGATAAAGCGCAGGGGGAAAGATACCTGGGAACCCATGTGGGAGGGACGGGAAGCCATGAGGTCCTGTGGAGAAGGGCAAGCCGGCATGAGGGTGAGGTCTCGAGGGAAAGTAGTCAGTGAAGCCTAAACCTGACTGGTTCAGTCCTGGTAGGTGGGGATGGTGGGACTTGGCTTTAGCCATGATGGGGCTAGAGCTCATGGCAATTCCAGGGGTGAAAATCCCCGCTGGAGTGCCATAATGATTTTTGCCCTCGCAAAAGCGGCGATGCTTGTTGAGGGAGGAGGTAGTGCTGAATAACTGCCCACAGTCCTTACACTTGATCTGGGTACGACAGTCAGCATGCATTCTCTTGTGACGGCAGAGGTTGGAGAACTGGGTGTAGGATTTGTGGCACACCTCACCTGGGGACGCAAAAAGACGTAGCCCATCAGGGCCTGGTTAAACCCATTTTAACACTGTCTCTAACTATGCATACCAAATCAATAGCATACAACACAGACTACAGATGCAACACTAACAACAAGTTGTAGTTTTTTTTTTTGTTTGTTTGTTTTGTACAGTGTCAGTCACTTGGTGTGTCTTATTTCCAATTAATAAAAAGATGTATATCAAACAGATTGTAAAAAGATGCAAATATGTAATAACTATATGGTTGGAACCTTAATCCCTTATTTTGGATTATAAGAACTATTCATGCCCTAGGTTGACATAGCTTTAAGACAATATCTGAATATTGCCTTGTTTCTTCTGACTGGACTTAATTTTAGGATTTTGGAGTGACCCAGTCAGAGACTTTGATCTAATACAGAATATCTGGAAGGAAGTTCAGGATTAGAGGCTTTTCAACTTCAAACACATGGAGCCAATCACCAGAGATAAATTACGAAAATATAGAAGAAACCTGGGAAAAGCTGGTCAGCATTTATATTAAGGGTTTGATTTTCATGCTTAAGTGTAAGTAAGTCTACACCATTACTTTAAAGATTGTTCACCTAAAAAAAGAAAAGTAGTTCATGTTATTTTCAACCAGATTCATTTAATGCCCAACAAACGTTAAAAAAAACAAAACAACCTTGCTTCCAAAATAAAGGTTGGTTAATTGAGATTAAATAATTACAAAACCTCTAATCAAATTGATATTTTTTTTAAAAATTGTGTCCCACTGGTAATTTGTTGAAGGAGACAACCCAAATGAAAAACAATAGTGTCACCAGCTGATATCCAACACTATTACATATGTAAACAACTCAGTTAAATCCCAACACATATGAAATCCCAGGGCCTTTACGTTTGGGCCACAAGTTGTACATGAAGACCCACAGACCATATGGGGACGATCTATTAAAATATAAGGAAAAAAAAAGTATAAAATAAATTAACTATTAGGAATTTTGATATATGCCACAAGCTCTTACTTACAGATAAAGGGTTTGACACTGCTGTGGATGTGTTTATGCTGTTTGAGACCTGACGAGGTGGCAAAGGTCTTGCCACATTCAGGACACGTGTGAGCCCGCGCTCCCACGTGCTGGGAGCGGATGTGCCGCTGAAGGTTGCTGGGATCTGTGAACACCTGAAAATCCAAAATAAGAGCATGACAACACAATGTTTGCCAACACCGAAGCCACAAAATATGTATATCCATTGAAATATGACTTGCTGTCTGAATGACCAAAAACTATGTATAGTACAATAAAGATTTAGCTCAAACAGGTCAAAACAGAAAAAAAGCCTGTGTGTCCAGTGCACAACTTACGTGCCGGGTATGCTGTACCTTATCACAGTTTTCACACTCAAAGCGCTTGCCACTGTCATGAGACATCTGGTGGCGGATGAGGTTGGATTTCCAGTTGAAGGCTTTGGGACACTGGTCACACTTGTACTCCCTCTCCTCTGTGTGGACTATCATGTGTTGCCCGAGACTTTAGTTCAAAATAAAATAAAAAAACAAGCATTTGAATGCATCAGATGTGCAATATATGTTTTTTTCTTAAAAAAAAAAAAAAGAAGAGCGTCCTGTGCACCTGTACTCGTTTGGGAAGATCTTTTCGCAGTCCTTGCACTCGTGGATGGGCTCATCGCTGTCCTCCCGCTCCTGTTTGAAGTCCTCTCTCAGCGCATCAAAGATGGATCCTGCACTCGAGCACGAGTACTTCTGATGCCGTCGCAACTCAAGGGTTGAGGAGAACAGCTCATCGCAGTCTTCACAGCGGTACATTTGCTCGTCTGCAAAAGCCCATTTAGACAGACATTTTCAGATAGGATTTAAAAACGTAATCGTAATCAAATCTGAAGTATGAAGTGGAAGCATTTATTTTTCCAGATTCCTTTTTCTCTACTGAAATACAATGGTAGAGTGTACAGACTCGTGTTATTTTAAAAGCTTTTCTGCATGTCATTTTATAAATTACTGAAACATGCATCTTTTTTTTTCATATTTATAAAGAATAAATATGAAATCTATTTGTTTCTGGGTTTATGCGAGTGCTTGGCTGTGCACAAAGTACCAGTGTTTAGTACCTATTGAGGCTCTCAGGGATCCGAAGAAAAAGGATCTATTTCCACCTTTAGAAATTGCTCTTGTTACTCATCAAGTAATCCATGCTGTTTTGCGCTTTAGTTACAGCTAAACAAACTTGTTTTTCCCAAAAGGTAAATGTAAACAATCCTGCAATTGACAGCTACATAAAATGGAAATCAATTACCAGTAAAATGTGGGCTTCATTAACACACTTAATTACTCGTTGAACAAAGTGTTCGCCTCAGACTGCAAGGGTAATAGCACGCAGGGGAAACAATGGGGGCAGGTCTTCCTCTTCCATGCTGATAACCTTTACAATACTTCTCACAGGCAAGGTCAAACACATAAAACCTAGACCACCTTTCTCAATAGCCAATTCCTGAGTCGGACGCCAAGTTCAACAGACAGAAAGCCCAGCGGAGGGACTTTGTGCATGGACGTGTGAATGCGTGCGCGAGCCGGTGCTCCTGTGAACATTTTCCAAAGTGAGCCGCGAGGACCGGAGTGTAAGCAGGGTCGCGGCGGCGCCAGCCCAGTGGTGATTTCAGCATCAACCTGCCATGCCTTCTTTGTCATGACACCGAGCACCCGCTGCCCACGTCGCCCCTCACCCCCTTTTCCCTTTCCACCAATATGCCACGCGCTCTCATCCATCAATTCAGGCCCTGCTAAATGAGTTTATCCAAAATGACTTGCAGTGCATGGCTCACCTGCTTTCTACTCCACGTGACCGTTTATCCAGCTGGAACTTCTTGGAAACATTAAAAGAGCATTAGAGCACCGACATCCAATGTTTCTAACCTTCACGAGACGCATGAGTGACCGTCTGGTCAACGGAGCATTACGCCGAGCTCAAACGCCACACTAACTAGCTCGCTTTTGACACTGATGTGTGCATGTACACCTTAAAGAATGGACATTAAAACGTCTCACCGTTTAGGTGATTTCAGAGTGGAAAATGTTGAAAAAGCATGACTCGCGTCCACTCGCGTTAGACTTTGGAGGATCTTAATAGGTGGAAAAGCTTCTGTTTATCTTAAAGGTAGTGAAACAGGCGCTCTGGTAAAAGCAACACAAGTGTCCATTGTGAGAGCGGGTCTGTGTGTCAGAATAGGCATAAACAAAGGCGTTTGCTCGGTGCATATCAGTGTACATGTGTTTTTTCAGTTAGTCTGCTGTGTGCGAGTGGGCTGGGGTGGGATTGGGGTGGTGGAGGTTATAAAGTGGAGACTAATAGCTCTCTGGGAGACGAAGGGAGGCACAATTATGTGCAGTTTAGCAGCTAATCTGGGAGCATGGGTGAGGTCTCGGGGGACTCCTCAAGTCCTTTACTTCAAATTCCTTCTTCGATAAGCCAGACGCAGAGAGCAGGGCTGCACTGCCAGGCGCTGCCTTTCTGTCTCAGTCACACAAACAAGGGGAGACCAGAACACAAAACGTCTTGGAAGGTGGACTTTGTCTGTGTCCTCCTTCTAGTTGTCCCAAAATAAAGTATTTCCCAATAAAAATCCACCTGATTCAGCTTCAGTCCTTCTCTCACACCAATACACAAAGCCATAGGTTTTAGCTTTTATGCACATATTTTGACAGGCTGCCTCATTCTTGTATCTTGTATTCTATCTGTACACACACACACACACAC